AATATCAGTTAAAAAGGCACCTATGAAAGTCCATTTTACAGGTCTCCAGTTCTACCATTAAATGATGATTTTCTGACATACATGACTTGGATGATTTAAGTCACACTCTCAGATTTTTATATCCTGGGCTTTTTTCTATTTCCAAATACTTGTTCTATGATCTTTCCTGATTGGTTATTAGCATCCTTCTATCTTAGAAGTAAAGAAGAAGAGAAAGGCAGGAATCTCTCTAGCGTTAAACACATATTCTAAGCATGATTATTGCTATACTTAGCGGGTCATAGTCTGATGTTTGACCTCTTCATCATTACATTTAGCTACTCCATTTCAAAAATACTTATTCATTAATTACTCTGGATGCTCTAGATTACTTTTGGGGCCATTAAAATAGTCATGATTTTTGCTTAAATAGTAGTTCCTATAAAGTAGGAGATAAAACAATGATCAATCCTATTAAAAATGATAGTTGCATTGTAACAAGTACTATCAATGAGATACACAAACTTAAATACTTTATAAATTTAGAGATAATAGCTATGGCTTCCTGAAGAAATGATACTAATATATATATATATATATATTAGATGAATAGAGGACCAATGAGAATTCCAGGCAAAGGCAATGTGGCTCTGTTACTGAACAGCCCCAAGTTGGAGAAAACCTGTTCCCTCTTAGACTCTTATTAATCTCACAAGGAAGATTTCAGACAAGTGACAGACAGCATATTGAAGCAAAGCAAGCAGATTTATTAAAAATTCACTTGGTGTGGCTCAATGGTTGAGCGACAACCTATGAACAGGAGGTCATGGTTTGTTTCCCGGTCAGGGCACACAGCTGGGTTGTGGGACCAATCTCCAGTAGGGTGCCTGCAGGAGGCAGCTGATCAATGATTCTCTCTCATCATTGATGATTTTATCTCTCTCTCTCCCTCTTCCTTAATATATTTTAATATTAAAAATAAGTCAATAAAAATATATTTTATAAAAAAGAATACACTTGGCATAAAACAGAAGCTGGCAATTCAGCTAGTTTTAGCATGCTGCCCAGTGGAGGTTCAAAGGGTTTTATAACCTTCTCCCTATAGGTTTCAAAGCTTTCCTGCCAGATATCTTGGATAGCAGACTAGGTTGCAAAGTCCCCTTCTACATTGTTGTGGCTTATCTCAGAATGTTTGTACAAACATTTGGTCATCTTGTATGGCAAGTCCTAAGGTGGCTGGCTTCTGTGTTTAGTGGGTGAGATAAAGTCCCCCTCTTTCCCTCTTTCCCCTTTCCTGCCCTAACATTCCCTATGTGGTATTTGTCCTTGGGTTTACCTGGCACAAATGGCATTCATTGAGTTTGTATTCTCTATTTTCCCAGGCCAAGGTGATTAAGCTATGAATTCTTGGGTTAGGGAAGAGAAGTATAAACCATTAGTTCTCCAGTGTCCTTGGTGGGGGGCACATAAGATTTTTGGGATTCACAGGCCAGCTGCAAGCTGCCCCAAGTGTTTGGCCTTGGTTAATTTTCTTGTCTCAGTTTCTTCATTCCAGGCATTTTCTTAGCTTCTTACTATCCCACCACAGTTAGTGGTAGGTTGTACCAGAGAAGCTGAAGAGGACATAATAAGATGTGGTTTGGATGATGGATAGAAATTGGAAGGTAGGACCAACCAGATGGATGGATATGTGTGAAATGGACAAGGAGCGCAAGGTTATCAAAGATTGCAATCCTGAGAAATGGAAAGATTGAGTTACCATTATCCAAGTTAGAAAAGAATAGTGAAAGAATAAGTGCGTGGTAATAGAAGGACTTTGATTTATGTTTGCTTTTATTGGAGCACTAGGTTGCTAGCAATCTGAGATAATTTTATTCTAGTTTCAAAAATTGAGATGATTTCAAGCCATGCTTAGCTTTTCCTAATGCTCTATATTTCTGATTCATTCTTACTTAAAAGTTATCATTATTTGTGACCCCAAATCAACTTAGAGGTATTCACTCTTTGGTGGGTTCTCGATTACAATTTTATCTCCTTAAATCCATTAAGCTTTCAAAATTTCTGCACAGATTAACCACTGAGCTGCTATGAAGCTTATTATCACCCCTAAGGGAAATGCAAATTTTAATACTTGGCTTAGTTCTGTGATTCCCCCGGCCCCTTTTTGGTTTTTAGCTACATGATTTTTCACTATTTTTAGCTCTCCAATGCACAGATTTTTATTTTTCAATTTGTCTAGTTGTTTTCAGTGGAAAGTTTAATTACATTTAAAATACAGGTTTATTATACATTTAGTATCCGAATGGCCTGCCAAAAACAAAAAACCTCTAATCTTTAGCTTCTTCATCTGTAATGCATATGTAACTATATCTAACTAACAAGATTATTTTGACTATTAAATTATGTATATATTGCCCTGGCCAGTTTGGCTCAGTGGATGGAGCGTCAGCCTGTGAGCTGAAGGGTTCCGGGTTCGATTCCGGTCAAGGGCATGTAACTTGGTTGCAGGCATATGTCGGGGGTGTGCAGGAGGCAGCTGATTGATGGTTCTCTCTCATTAATGTTTCTAACTCTCTATCCCTCTACCTTCCTCTCTGTAAAAAATCAATACAAATATTTTAAAAATTACATCATGTATATGGATCCTCTTCCTGAGAAATCAAGAAGCAATTACCATTTGTATTGTTGGTGACCAGGTCTCAGTCTATTCATAGTAAAGCGCAGCTAGAAATGCCCGGAGGCGCTCACTTAGGCCCCAGGGGGCTTTGCACAGAAGGCCTCCCTTGCTTAAAACAATGTTACAACTGGACCAACACTTTTGGTTCAAAGTGTGATTGCAAAATGCCCCTCAGCAATAATGGTCAGGAAACTTCTAAAAAGTGTGGTTTTCGTACTTACAAGATGGGGAAATGACAGGTGGGGTCACAGAGAGGTCACAGAGAGAGGGAGAAAAAGAGAGCAAAGTGGCTAGGGTTCTGCTTTTATCAGGGTTGAGGGTGAGGGCCTAGGGTTTGAAAGGCTCACAATTTCTTGGTGAATTTAAAACACTAGAGGAGGGTTTTAAAGCACGAGGAGAGAAAACAAACAAGTAGTGCATATGGTTACTTATGAGATCAAGTAAGGTCTCTGAAACAAAGGAGTCCCTTCTCTAGCTGTGTGGCTGGCCTTGTGTTTATCCCAGACAGTGTTTGAAGTGGCTTCTTCTTTGAAATGGATGCCTCACCAATCAAAGCTTAAGTCAGGCACTTGCATTACAAAAAGGAAAAAAACAAAAAACAACCAGCCATGTCAGGGTTTACACTACACCCCATCAAACTAAGGTAGAAATGAGATCACTTTATAAAATGATAATTATATTTCACAGGCATGTTGTTCACAGTGACAAGAATCAAATCCTAGTACCCCGAGAATTTTTACTTTTTCGTTATTTCTCTGAGTCTCCGGAGATATTCTAGAATAGCCCTTTTATAATCCTCTACTTTGGCCTCCTTTTAAAGTAATTACTATTACACGGTCAAATGGCAACCTGCTTCACTACACATGCCTTAGAGCCAACAATGGTTCCTTTTCTAAGGCAGTATATTTTCCTGTGAAATGCTCAAAACTTCACCTATCCCCAGATATCCCAGTTTCTTTCTCTTTAGTTCACCTCCTAAAGAGGCTGAAGCAATAAAACAAAAAGAGTAAATAAATAAAAAATGGGAAGAATGCCCAACTATTCCAATCTGTGTTTTATTTTTCAGACTAGACATATCAATTGCTGGTATTCTTACAAAAATTTTCAAATAATAATAACTGTGAATTTTTCCTCCCACAAGGAATTGTAACCCTACAGTTGGACTGGTTTATGGAGCTATAGAATACATGTTAAAACTGTTGTTTCTCCATCAAAGCCTGGGCCTTCTCTGGCTCAGGAGTCAGAACACTGACTTATTCCCTACATGTCACCTTTCCCTCTGTGCAAATCAACTTATGAAAATAGGTTCATGGAGATTTGTGGCCCCAGGTGTCAAGACTTTCCTCACATTTCATTTCCTAGCTACATGATTTTCTCTCAGTTTTTAAGATTCATTTATCAGAGGTAAATAGGTACTGACAATTATATTAAACTAGAGGCGTGGAGCACAAATTTGTGCACCAGTGGGATCCCTCAGCCTGGAGGGATATTGGGAGGGGGGCAGAGTTGGCTAGCCAGAGAGGGACCAAGGGAGGGCTCCAGTGTGTGTCTGACCTGTCTTGCTCAGTCCCGACTGGCCAGACCCCAGCAGCAAGCTTACCTACCGGTCAGAGAGTTTTCCCCCTGGTGGTCAGTGCACGGCATAGTGAATGGTTGAGCAGCCTTAGCATATCATATATATATTAGTGGAGTCAAACAACAGATTAACTAAAAAGCTTAAAAGAGAAAGCCATGGAATAATAGGTCCTTAGAGGTTTGGAAAAGTTCCCTATATTCCTGGGCATCTTCAAGGTCACACACATGTGAGCATGCCCAGTGTCATAGGCTAAATTTCCAAAGTTTGTATGTTGAAGTCCTAACCCCCAATATCTCAGAATGTGACTTTTTTTGGGAAATAATTAAGGTAAAATGAGATCATATGGGTGATCCTCCCACCCCCCTCAATAAAAGCAATAAGAATTTTATTGCACAGATGAATTTATGTACTTTCTTGTGCCTGAATCATTAAGGATACTTTTAGCTAGCAATTGCAATCCGAAATCAGACTTGGGTACATGCAAAGTTTGAAAGCCTAATAATTTGTGGTTGTTTTCAGGCTCAACAGAAAATAATATTACCTCTGACCCTTGGGCTAAAAACTTACGAAACCTTATAAATACTAAATGTAAACCTAAAATACCTGTCATTATGATCACACTCATTGAATAGTACGTAAAGCTTTCCTTTTTGTTTTCAGAAGTATTTTTGCTTAGCATATTAATTTTATATTTGTAGGTAACAATTGTTAGGAAGATTTTGTTGTTGTTAAAATCTATGGTGTGTTTTTTCTTATTGTTATTTTTAGTTTGGTTGCAACAAAGGAAACAGATAGTGCAAGATCTAGAAGTACTCCAATGTCACCTTCTGACTTCCTGGATAAATTAATGGGGAGGACATCAGGATATGATGCAAGAATCAGACCCAATTTTAAAGGTAATTGTTTTGCTTTCTACTTTATATTAAATGTGTTTTATTTATTAAAATTTTTAAAATATATTTTTCATTAATTTCAGAGAAGAAGGGAGAGAGAGATAGAAACATTGATGATGAGAGAGAATCATTGATCGGCACACTCCTTACTGGGATCCAGTCCTCAACCCGGGCATATGCCCTGACCGGAATTGAACCAGTGACTTAGTTCCTGGGACAATGCTCAACCGCTAAGCCACACCTGGTAGGGCATGAAATGTATTTTAAATGTGATTAAACAGGATACATTTAAAAATTTGATTCTACCAAAAATTCTGAAGACATAAAATATTCTCACCAACTACAATGGAATAGTCTCACTAACTGGAATAGAAGCTTCCTTGGAGCTGACGATAAACCTCCCATATTTTAAATCTTCCACAGCAGGATTTTCTATATTGTGAAGAATCCAATCATTGTTGAATTTATGTACTGGGGAAGGGTCTGGATAATTAAAACCACTGATAGCATTTAAAAAATTATTCTATCTACCAAATGTTTTACTTAAATTTATAGGAAAGAGTTTTTTTTTTTAAAAAAAATATATTTTATTGAGTTTTTACAGAGAGGAAGAGAGGGATAGAGAGTTAGAAACATCAATCAGCTACCTCTTGCACGCCCCCTATTGGGGATGTGCCCGCAACCAAGGTACATGCTCTTGACTGGAATCAAACCCAGGACCCTTCAGTCTACAGGCTAACGCTCTATCCACTGAGCCAAATGGGTTTCAGCTAAAGGAAAGAGTTTTAAAGGAGATCATATTCAAATAAAAATGAGAAATTTCAGGATTATGAGGATATTTTACAAAAGCAGTATCCTCTTATTTAAATTTGTCTTTCATAATATTACTGCTTATACCGGTATTGTGTCATTCTCCATAAACAATTCTCTTTCTCTTTACAAAAAAAAAAAATCAAATCTGATTTATTCTATCATCTGTCTCAAACATTCTCTTACTCATATCCTTCGCTCTTATTTGTTTCCTCTAGATTTAAGGAGAATTGTTTAGATTTGTCCTCTAAGTCACTCTTGTACATGACACAGTGTCCTCTGTATTCTTTGGGAATGTTGAGGGGCATTTTAATTCTGTAATTGTATTGTCTCTTCACAGTCCACTTTATTCTAAACCATTTCCTTGAATGTGAAGTCATGGAGGTGGTATCACAGGTTGCTAGGCAGATACTATTTTCTTTGCTTAGTTGTTTGTTTTATTTATGAAAATAGTGAAAACCATGTACCTGAACTTGGCAAACATGAAATTGTCTAAAGATAATAATGATGAAAAGCAGAAGCTCCTTGCCTTGACAATCTTTATGCACAGGACTGCTTCTTTGAAGTAAACACTCCAAAAGTAAAATTGGTTAATTTCTGGTGAAATATGTTTGATTGCTTCTGGGACTTTTACAAACAAGGCATTATGAGATGCATTTGCACTAAGAAGACTTGCTAATTTAATGTCTTAAATTTCACCTTTTCTGTATCCTTTTTCTGCACAATCATCTCTTTTCTTCCTGCAGGAATAATTATGTTAATTCATCTTAGCTCTCTTTAAGCCCCTAGTTTTATTATAGAGCATTTAAGGAAAACACTGTGTAGTTCAAGGAAAGATTGAGTTGATGTGCCTGGGTGCTAACACAGGTTTAGTCTCTTTCTCTCTCGCTTTCTCTCTCTCTCTCTCTCTCTCTCTCTCTCTCTCTCTCTCTCTCTCTCTCTCTCCCTCTCTCTCTCTCTCTCCCTCTCTCTCTCTCTCTCTCTCTGTGTGTGTGTGTGTGTGTCTAGGGAGGGGGTTTTCTCTCTGGAAAGGAAAATCTGACAGAGACATCATTGCCCTGGCCAGTGCTCTGTTCTCAGTGAGTGCTGAGTGCTGATGAGGCTTTGGTCTGAGCTCCTCCAGATGCCAAAACAGAAAAGGCTTTAGTTTTGAGTATTGTCATTGAGCATGTTTTCCCCAATCAAAAAAGTTATTTCCCCTCCTTTTTTTTTTTTTAAACTTCTTACAAACAGAAGATGACTAAGTTCTGAGGACCTAATGCACAGCACTGAGACTACAGTTAATAACACTGCATTATATACTTGCAAGTTGCTAAAAGAGGAGATTAAATGTTCTCACTACAAAAAAAAAAAAAAAGAGGAAGTAATTATGTGCTGTGATGGAGCTGTTTGCTAATGTTATGATGTAATCATACTGTGATATGAAAGTGAATCACATCAACACATTGTGTACCTTAAAGTTGCACAGTGTTATATATTAATTATCTATATATATAAAAGCCTAACCAAACCACCAGAATGACCGGTTGACCAGTCACTATGACATGCACTGACCACCAGGGGGCAGTTGTTCAATGCAGGAGCAGCCCACTGGTCATCAGTGTACTCCCATAGCCAACCTCCTGTGGTCCCTCCCCCAGGCCAGCCATGATTGGTTCCAATCAAAATTGGGCAAGATTGGCCTGATCACTGGCCAGGCTGAAGGACCCCACCCATGCATGAATTCATGCACTGGGCCTCCAGTATCTCAATAAAGTTAGAAAAAGAAGACAAAAATTGAGCACTCATTAACAGAATCATACAATTCCCAATTATCTTAATAAACTATGTTTGCAAAACTAAAACCAAAAAGTTATTTCCATTCTTTCAAAAATGCTATAGGGCTAAACCTTAGGCCAACCCCTGCCCTACAGGAATATGGATGGGAGTAGGGGAGCTTTCTGAGACAGGTGCCTGTGATTTCTCTCTACAGGCCCTTTCAGCTCCTCACCTTTCCTGTAGATGACTTTAAGCTTTGTGTCTCCCTGGGTCATTCTTTTTATTAGTAAACTTATTGGTGCGATAGTGGTTAATAAAATTATATAGGTTTCAAGTATACAATTCTATGACACATTATCTGTATATTGCATTGTGCGCCCACCACCTGAAATCAGTCTTCTTCTGTCAACATATATTTGTCCCCTTTACCCTCACTTTTTCCCTCCCCCTTCCCTTTGGTGACCACTATACTACTGTCTGTATCTATGAGTCTCTGTTTGTTGATTTGCCTTGTTTGTTCACTTCTTGCTTTCAGTCATATCCCACATATCAGTGAAATCATGCTTCTTGACTTTTTTTCTGCTGCCTATTTCCACCTAAAGTTTTTTGAAAATATTTATTCACAAAGATATGCACCTCTATGTTCACTGCACCATTATTAATAGTAAACATAATATGGAAGCAACCTAAGTGCTTGTCAATATATCAGATAGAGGATATGTGGCACATTATAGACAATGGAGTACTATACAGCCGTAAGAAAAGATGAAATACTGCCATTTGTGACAACATGAATGGATGTTGAGAATACCATGCTAAGTGAAATAAGTCAGAGGAAAAAAAAATCAAGATCCCTGGGTCATTCTTAGCAAATTAGCTCCCTTCTCCATGTAGTCCTAACCTGCACTTATTTTAAGCTTTGCTCTGTTTTCTTCTTCCCTTTATATTTTGTCATTAAGCTGAAGATGAATTTCCTCCATGCTCTTTAGTACTTGATGTTTGTTTCATTTTTATTTGCTAATAAAATTTTTATGTCTTCGGAGTGAAAGAAAACTGTTTAATCACTCTCTTGCAATAGAAGCGTCCAGGAGTCATTTGGTATTAGAAGCCTATAAAAGTACATCTATAGATGATAAAATATTATTTCACTAGACTACTGTACCAGCTTTTGCTGGGTTTTACTTCTTTCCTCGTGTTTGGGCCCTCAGTTGATCTTTGATAACCCTTGAGTCCAATTTGGATCCAGGCAGAAAGTACTCAGCTGGCAATTACTTGATTATGTCTTCCTCCAAACACTGACTGCATTTTTTCATTCTATCTCCAATGGCCTTTATCTAGAAATAACATTGTTTGCCTTCCAGCGTCTTTGTGGTTTATGCCTTTTCATCTGTAATAGTTCTCTATATTAATCCCTTTCTCCCACATCACAAATTCTGTTTTTCAATAGTCATTTCTGCTACAACGCATTCTATCCACAGAATGGCATGTGTACCAGTACTCATTTCCTGCCTGTATTTTTTTTTTCAATGAAAGCGTTAGCATTTTAACTATTTATATCTACCCAGACACAGTTATTCTTGAATACAATTCACAATTATTTTTAAGAGCATGTCTCCTACTTACATTTTTACATCATATATGTCCTTCCACCAAGAAGAATCTCTTTAGTAATAAGCCTTTCTAAAATTGTAGATGTTCACTGGAATATTCACAGATTTAAATTCTGCTTTCTATAATTTTAGGTTTTCTTTAATTTTATTTTTTTAGTGTATACTTTCTGTAGTAGTTAAGTGTTGTTGTTTTGTTTTTTACTTCTAAACACTCTCAAACTAACAGACTATTTGCAAGTATAGCACTTAGCTATTTCCCCTCCAACCTCCCTTGTTGACTTGGTGCCCCAATACTTGAGTGTATCATATGAATGAGAACATTTTCCTAAATAACCACCATCTAACCACTGAAACAAGCAAATTAACATGGATATATTCTTACCACCTAATTTGTGGACCCCACTCAAATTTTATCAATTCTTTGAATAATGGCTTCATTCTAAATCTAATTGGTCAGATTTAGAATAAGTCTTATATTTTATTCATAATTTATCACTTGGTCTCCTTTAATCTGAACCAGAAGATTACTCTTTCTATGACTGTCATGATCTAGGCACTTAAAAAATTATCCTTTTATTTAACAGACTGTATCTCAGTTTGCATTAATCTAATGTTTCCTCATGATTCAGTTTAGGTAATACATTTTGTCAGGTATATCACAAAAAAGATACTATGTTCTTATCAGATGGTGGACCATCTTAATTTTTACTATAAATGGTGGTATTTACTTAGATTAATTGGTTAGGTTGGTGCTTGCCAGGATATGTTTTTATACATATACATATATGCATAAATACACACACATATATATACACACAAACACATATATGCATATTCATATATATTAATTTACATTTAAATAATTGCTTCTTAATTTTTAAAATATATTTTTATTGATTTCAGAGAGGAAGGGAGAGGGATAGAGAGAGATAGAAACATCAATGATGAGAATCATTGATCGGCTACCTTCTGCACACTCCCTACTGGGCACTGAGCCCACAACCAAGGCATGTACCCTTGACCAGAATTGAACCTAGGACCCTTCAGTTTGCAGGCTAACTCTCTATCCACTGAACCAAACTGGCTAGGGTACATCCCTATCCATTGAAAAACCATAAGTTCACATTGATATTTCCAACTCTATGTGTTTATTCTATTTTCTGAGTTTCCATATTTTAACTTCCTCATCAGATAGTAAGAAACCTGGCTCCAATTCTCCTTCATATAATCCTGATGTTGATCAATATGTAATGAATCTCTCTTATCTGCTGCCGCTTCCTCTCCCACACAAGAGCCCTAGGGTCCTGTTCAGTCTGACTCTCCCGGCCTGGCTGTCCCCATGTGGATACTGTCTTTACTCTTCTCTGGTTCTAATTACCCCCACACCAGGCTGCATCACTATGGCAACATTCTTCTCACTCACTCTGGCTCCATCACCCCACGCTATGTATTCCTTCTCCAAGGATGTCCTTCTCATCCTGTGCAGGTTATCACACTCTCGCAGCCAGCCCCAGCATGGGAGCCTCATTAACATGGCTCGACTGGGCTTTAGGACTGGAAAGGGAATGGGGAAGGGGGAAAAATGACCCGAATCCTATTTTTCTCCCATAATTTTTTTAACCTTTTTCAAGTATCTAACAAGTAGTTTTTAATCTGTATTTAAAGTAATCAAATTTGCGTTTGTTAATTAAAAAATAAAATCTCTCTCTTTGTGATATGACTACATAAAATATAAACATATTCAAAATAAAAACAACTCATGAAACATAATATTTGAGAGTTCATCTTTTAATTGCATTCTTCATCTTTAAAAAGGGTGAGGCTTTAATACAACATTATGTAAAGAATTACTTAGAGTCATTTTAATGAACACTTGGGCTCTTGTTTTTCCCTTTGTTTCCTCTAGGTCTGCCCAGTGAACAATTTCCCCAATGTGAATAGCAATAATACAATTGTCTAGGCTTTGCATTGGACTTTGCCATTTCGCCTTTATCCACCTCTGAACTTAAAAGCCATGTTCTATTTTTTTTAAGAAACATCTAAAAGAAAACATAATGCTAAAAACATCTGCAACTAGTATCATTTGCTTTTCAGGCCAACGATGGCTAATGTAATGAACAACTTAAAAGCACAATTTGCCATATGGATGGTATAGCAGTTATTTGCTCTGTTGCTAAACATAGCAGTGTGTTAGATGAATATAACAGCTTTCGCACTGGCATGGAGAAGAAGCAGATTGACCAAACAGGTGCTCTCTGTAGTGGTAATAGAAGATTTACAATCTTCTCAGACCTTCATTCTCTACATAATTTTTGAGTTATACATATAAATAGCTAGGGAAGAAAGACTACCCCAACATTGCTGCCCTGAACTGACACAGACCAGAGCTTCCAGTATAGAATACAGTGCTTTATAAACATAATAGTACTACACTTATTTCATTTCCTATAATATCTCTCCACTATCGCTGTTCTTGATCACGCCCATTCCATTTCCAATCTGTACTATTACAATACAGTCCTAAATATTGTCTCTGTTTCTAAGCTTTTGCTATCCATTCAACCATTCGTCTTGTTGTTCCTTATCACCCCTACCCTCTCTGCTTGCCTGCCTAATCTCCCCTAAATGCCTCTGCCTGACTGATTTCCCCTAAATGTCCTTCCCTGTTAGTCTGATCTCACCCTCAACTGCCCTCCCTTGCAGGCCTGATTGCCCCTAATCCCCTGCCAGCCTTATTGCCCCCCTAACTGCCTCTGCCTTGGCCCCCACCACCATGGCTTTGTCCAGAAGGAAGCTGGAAGATGGCCAGTTGACCCTGTCTAATTAGCATATTACCTTTTTATTAGCATAGGTAGATTATATAGGATAAGATTGCTTAAATGGAGGGAAATAGCCGTTTTCAACAGGAGGAGATGCTCTTGGCAGACAAAGATACCTAATTCCTATATCTGGACTGATAGCCAGTCATATGCACTATACTGCCATACCCCACCAGTCATTAAAAAATTGAACCACTTTCTTACACCTTATACCAGACAGCTGTTGCCTTTAAAACTCCTTCTCATCCCTCACCTTAGGTTCTGCCTTCATAGTTTACCCATATTTGGTTCCGATTGGTCAGTTTCTATGCCAGTCAAGGTCAAAAGCCATTACAAAGGACCTCCTAGGCAGCCATTGGCTCCTCGCATTTCACTCAGATTTGGTTCTGATTGGTCTGTTCTATGCCAGTCAGCATCTCTGGGCTATCTCCTGGCCTGATCAGAGAGGCAGAGCTGATCAGTAGCCACTCCAGGCTGCTGGCCAGCAGGCTGAACTGCTGACCTCTCAGAGAAAAAGAGAGAAAGAGGGGGGCAGGGGAGGTGGAAGGAGGCAAGGGCTGATCAGCAGCTGCCATGGAGGCTGCAGATCAGACCCTGTTTTTCTCTCTGGCCCTCACCAACATCTGTGCCTCTCTCCCTTGGCCTCTCTAGCAACAAGCCCTAGTCCATATACTTCAGTGGATAGAGCGGGCATGTGCAGGAAGCAACCAATAGTTTCTTATTGATGTTTCTCTCTCTTTGTCTCTCCTCTTCCCTCCCACTCTCTATAAAAATCAGTGGAAAACTATCTTCAGGTAAGAATTAACAATAACAACAAAAAAGCAACAAAAACACCAGCAAAACTGTTATAATTAACCTTTAGAACTCTAAAAATTAACCAAAACCCTGCAACACTATGAGGATGCTAATGAAAGAAAAACTGATGAGCTTCTCCTAAGGACAAAGGGCATTTAAATATAGCCCCTTTTTCCAGTAGCCTTGATAACCAGCTACATCTATACCACAGGAGCTGTGAATTCCAGCAGCCTAGCAGCTCTTAGAGGGCAGACAAGATTTGGAGCTCCACAGGAAGTCCATCCCAGAACTATGTTAGTCCCATTCAGAGGGCTTGTTATTTTATTTTACCTGGGAACTCCCTGAGTGGGAATATTCTATCACCAGGGCAGTTGTGGAAAAAGATAATAGGAAATCACCAGTTGGGCAAACAAGAGCCTAAACAAAAATTTAGAAGATTTTTGGGAATGAGATGTCTATAGGCAGCTTCGAAAAGTTCTGTTATGTTCTTATGGATCTAGAGGGTATACACATGTGTAGGGCTGGATGTGTTTTCAGAGAAGTTCTGGAAGGACCCCAGTCTCTCACCTCTGGCTGACCTGAGATCCTGTGCAAGCAGGAAGTGATGGGTAAAGCATGAACATTAAAAATGTGCCTCTAACAAACACAAAGTCCCTGGGCAAAGGGTGGGAGACTTACTAGTATTCCTTGAGGAAATCTCTGATGAATCATTTGTTGACAAGTAAACTCACAAAGCAGTAAACTCATTGGCTGCATATTCTAGGGGAATACAGATTTTACAGTATTAGTCCAGTAAGTTATTAAACAAGGAACAACAATTAGTGAAGCTCAGTTGTTGGGTGTCCTCCATTCATGGAAAGGTTGCTAGTTTGATTCTGGTCAGGGCACAGCCCCCGGAAAGGTGCCTTCAGAAGGCAACTGATTAATGTTTTGATGTTTTGCACTAACATTGATGTTTCTCTCTCTACCTCTCTCTCTAAAAATCAATTTTAAAAATCTTTTATAAAAAAGTAAAAGAAACAGCAGCAATGACAAAACACTGTGGGGTGGAAGTGGAAGGTCATATATATATGACAAGTCCTTTGGTTGATCTCTTATCCCCTTACCTCCAACCCCCCTATCCCCCTGCTTTCCCTCATAGGATGCTTCTATGACTCTGGTTCTATTTTTGTTAATCAGTTTATGCTTTTTATTATAATCCACAAATGAGTGAGGTCATGTGGTATTTAGCATGCATATAAGCATAATCAATGGACACAGATGGGAGAGGGTATGTTTGGGGGGGTGGGGAAGCCAGGGAGAGGTCAATGGGGGGAAAGGAGAATTATGTAATACTTTAAACAATAAAGAATTTAAATAAAAAAGTATGTGACATGCAAAGAAACAGAAAAATATGGTTCATAAATGTGGAAAAACATCAACAGAAACTCCTCTTTAGAGGCTCAGATGTTGGACTTACTAAATCTACTTACTAAATATACAGAGCTATTAGAGATATCTATACCATGAAAACAGACCAAAAAAGGTAAACAACTGACCAGCATCAGTGTTCAAGGGAGAGCAGGAACTGTGATTTGCTATCCAGATTATTTTACAGAATGATTGCCTTCAATCTTAAGCATCAGTGTGTATACATATATTAAAAATATTAAAAAAAACTATTAATGAGAAGCATGAGATTATTTGAAAATATTTTGGATAAGTACCTAAATAGTCCTTATGCTGTAATCTCTTTTTTCAGGTCCTCCAGTTAATGTCACATGCAACATATTCATAAACAGCTTTGGCTCTATTGCTGAGACAACTATGGTAAGCATGTTTCCTTTGTAACAACTTTCATACCAAAGTCACATTAATGGCAGTTTTTCTACTAATGTTATTTAATTTAAAGACAAAATTAATATAATAAGATTTTAAAGGATAAAATGAATGGTGTTATTAAATTGTAATCAACTGCAAGTAAAAATGTTTCATTTAGAGATGGTATAGTGTAGAATAAATGTAAGTGTAAACAAGATTGGTTTTTCACACCTCAAGAATTTAATACCAAATCTCAAAAAAAAAAATTCTCTTATGTGACTTATTTATTCCTTTCTAATGTTTTTAATAATCAGATATAAGCATAGGATTAAACAATTTCATTTTTAATTATTGAATATACTTATAAATGTATTCATAATATTGTTTTAAGTATTCTATTTGATTGCTTTTTCAAATTAGTATAACATTAACTCAAACATCATAAATATTTTGCAAACTATAGTGTTTGCTTTAATTTAACCAAACTCGTTGAACAGAGACTTCATTGCCATGTAATTGAAAACATTTTACATAATTATTAAAGTAAAAAATATATCATTATAGCACAGATTTTCTCTGTTTAGAATTTTATAACTTTCTTCAGAGATCATGTATCTCTGCCTTATAGCTTTTATTGTGCACTTAGCTAAAATAATATGCAGACATAGGCACATGAATCATTGAATAGCTATAAAAGTGTCTAGCAGGCAACATTTTAAAATTGAAAGTATCTATGGTGGTTCTTAAATTACCTAGAATTATACTCCATTTCTAAATTTAACAAGTGTAATTTGCATTAATTTTCAAAGTTGATTTTAGCGAAAATAGGATATGAAATACTTCAAGATTTATTAGCTTCCAAAACTATTAAGTAGAGAATTATGTTTACCTTCTATATCTCAGAATGATTTGATAGAGAATTTCTAAGGAAAAGTAATCTAATCTGCAAATTATTTTGTGGGGGAGTGTGTGTGTGTGTGTGTGTGTGTGTAAAGGATCTCTCTCAACAGGAAAAGACTATTCAGGCACCATCTAAACAAATGGTCTTTTCATCATGTATGTAATATATAGCCATTTAGCAGCATCTCTGAGGTTCTACTCAAACATCGAAAACATCAGCGAAAAAAAACCCTGACTTCACATATTTGGGCGTTATATAGAGTTATTTTAAGTATAGTATATAATTAACATTAATGTGAGTGTCTGTCTTTGTGTAAACACAAAGACCATGCATGTATTTGCTTGTATAAGCACCATGTAGTTCTGGTGCAATTCTGACCCTAAAGTGATTATAGTTCTGTTTCAGACCTTGACATATTTTGGATTCTGATTGACTAGCTGGCCAATTTATATCCTGCAATTGTACATAACTACCCCAAATTATAGTAAAGATAAAAGAATCTCTGGCTTTTTTTTTTTTTTCGATATAGACTCTCCAAATTGTATTTCTAGCCCTGGCAACTTTCTCATTTTAATTGCTACTATATACACTGTACAATCCTGAAAACCTGGAAAACATGTTTATGCTTTTTTCTTTTGCAAGATCATTTCCTAAAAATATTTTTGATGGTGACAGTCAGAAAGGTTTACAGCCTTACTTATCTTTGTGGGATGGAGGAAGGGACTTGGAAACAAGAGAAGACATAGTCAGATTTCCTTATTAAAATCTGAAAAATTGTCAGATTCATGAGGGCCTCTGCTTTTTATGACATATACATCAGTCTACCACTAAATGGTTATAACCACTAAGTGATTATAACAATCAATAGATGGCTACACCAGCTAAATTTCTTACCTTTAATCATTTTAGACAGATTTTCTTTAGAGAATAGTATCATACATAAAGCTTGATACTGTTTTATACACTCTCACAGTGACTCAGTTTTATTTCTTCCCAACTCTACTGTAGAAATTCTTTCCTAGTCCTACATATTCCATCATAATGGATTTCCTTTTAAATAATTTTAGACTCGATTACTCTCCTTTTCAGAGTCACAAGCAGCGTCAATGAACATTAATCAAACACTGCAGAAGTTAATTATCTATAAAAATAAAAGCATAATATGCCAATTAGACTGGACATCCTTCCAGACAGCCTTCCAGCAGCCTTCAGGATGAAGCTGGGGCTGCAAGGGAAGCCCGGGTCCTGGGTGCCTGCTGGCAGCCAGAGGGAGGGAAGCCCAAGTTCCTTATGCCAGAGGAAAGTCGGTGCCCACAGCCAGGGGAAGGCCTACTCTAGCATGAATTTCATACATCGGGCCTCTAGTTATAAAATAAGCTAAGAATTATAAAATTAAGATGTCCACGTTGGTATCTTTCTTTTTAGTTTTCCAAACTGTTAAATATATGACATGACTTCTATTCTTTTTTTTTTTTTTTAATATATTTTTATTAATTTTGTACAGAGAGGAAGGGAGAGAGATAGTTAGAAACATCGATGAGAGAGAGTCATCGATCAGTTGCCTCTTGCACATCCCCTACTGGGGATGTTCCCGCAACCAAGGTACATGCCCTTGACTGGAATCGAACCCAGGACCCTTCAGTCCCCAGGCCGACCCTCTATCCATTGAGCCAAACCGGTTTCGGCATGACTTCTATTCTTATAACTAGATTCAATCATTGTAAAACATTTTAATGGTATCAGATAGATTAGCTATAATATGGTGTCCCTCTATATAGAATAGAGAAAATTTGAACTTGTTATTTTATTTCTATCTTAAGAATCATAAAATAGCTGAAATGGTTTGACTCAGTGGATAGAGTGTCAGTCTGTGGACTGAAAGGTCCCAGGTTCAATTCCAGTCAAGGACATGTACCTTGGTTGCGGGCATATCCCCAGTGAGGGTGTGCAAGAGGCAGCTGATTGATGATTCTCTCTCATCTATGTTTCTAATTCTCTGTCCCTTTCTCTTGCTCTCTGTAAAAAATCAATAAAATATATAAAAAAGAATTATAAAATATTTCGCTACCACTTGATCAAATCAATATAATTTAACCATTGTTCCCACCATAACAGCTCTGCAAACTAAGTTTTATTTGCCATAATATTGCTTAATTTTTATAAAACCATCAAAATACTTTTAAACATGCTCATTTCTTATGCAAATGTAGTTTACTTTTTAAAATACAAATAAATTAATTCATTTAAGATAGCATAATGAAATTAAGAGGACAGAATTTCAAATTACCTATAATCATTAATGAATAGCTTTAGATATGAGAACTTATATCTCAAATAAAACTAAATAATTCTTCCAATTTACATATATTTGCTTCACAACATTCTTAACTGTTTTTAATGTTTTTACTGACCAAATATATTAAGCTTCCTCTGATGATCTAGTCTCTATTATATTTCTTCCCATTTTAATACCCAGCTTTAGTCCCATTTGAGGTAATTATTTGATTCTTGAGAAAGTTTCTCTAGTAGATATTTTTATTCTAGCCATTTTCTAAAAACTAAGTAACTTTAAAAATGAACAAATTCAAATTTGAACCTATTTTGTATCTTTTTACACCAAATCTTTCAAATATTTATGTGCATTTTTAATAGTATAAACTCAAATTTCTTAGCTGTTAAGTCCATCCTTTCCCAATGTTTCTCTAACTTATTATAGTACCAAGCATTCTCACTCGAGTACAGTTTTATTATTCTTGACATATTGTCATCAATTTTTTTTCCTATAAATATCAAAATTCTAGACTTCCCTATTTCCCTCACATTTGAGTTGTATGCCATTATATATAATGTGATTCTCTAAGGCTTTGCTCAGTCTCCATTATTCAGAGTTTACATTCTTTTTAAGCAGACAATGATTTAACAACTATTGGAAACCATAGTTCTTAAAAATATTAAATAAAGCTGGTTTACCATCATTGGGGTCATTCTCTTTCCTGTTCTGCAACTTGGCCTTGATGACAGAGGTGCATCTATTTTATTTTTTAAATCTTCGGAGACCAAAAGAGCTCAGGAGTGTTTTCATTGCTTCTGTGAGGGAAGCTTAAGATCTCCACATTAAGTGACACTTATTAGTAAGTGAAACACACTCCTGCAAACCTGTGATGAGTTGTGGATAAGGCTTATATGCCAGGATGAAAACATTTGTAAGTTGCATTTAAAAAAACCAAACCCTCATATATGTGTATGTAGTATTTTGGGGGGGTGTATACTGTATACAGCAGTATTTAAAAATGGATAAATTGGCTGAATCCTCTATCTTCAGGAAATACCCTGTTTCCCCGAAAATAAGACAGTGTCTTATATTAATTTTTGCTCCCAAAGATGTGCTAGGTCTTATTTTCAGGGGATGTCTTATTTTTCCATGTAGAAGAATACGGTACACATTTATTGTTAAATGAAAAGAAAGGAAATTTATTACCTGTATATGGTACGGTAGTACAGTAGTTGTCAACACAAACCAGACAAACTGAATCCTACAGTATCAAGAATTTACTCATTTATTCAATGACAATCATGTCATCATCTTCTGGAACATCATCATAACAATCCAATTCCTGAATTTCCTGGTGAATTTTTTGTGAAATTAATTTCATTCTGAGACAGAGCCTAGGGGGGCCTTATTTTCGGGGGATGCCTTATATTTCACTCAGAAGGAAACTTGTAATAGGTCTTATTTTTGGAGGATGTCTTATTTTCGGGGTAGATGGCTCTCCATTTTGTTACAAATAAGAAATAGAGAATTACTCTGCTATGCGCCTTAAGTCAATATTTACTCATTGCACCATTACTTCTCACCAGTTCCCTTAGAATAAAGTGCTTTTCTAAAACAGCTGAGCTATTTTGGTATGAGTTCTTTAGGTGCCTGTATAGAGCGATGTATGGTGGGGTTGGGTGAGAGTATCTGAGGGTCTGTTTGAGCTCAAAGAATTATTCAAACTGGACAATGTTTCAATTTTCCACACAAATGATAGGTGCATATAAGATGATGACAAGCTTTTTTAAATGCTACTTTATTTGGTTATGTTAGGATAACATTTAACTCCTTGTA